GTAATTTCAGTGTCAGACACGGGCGGATTACTGAAAAAGTCACTTAGCATACAGGATGGATGAAGAGGAGTCATGTATGATTGGTCCTTGCTCGCCTCGCCACATTATGCGGAAATGACTATAGTGCCAAGCAATGACGGGGCAGTGCGGTGTTTGGGGAAAATGTCATAGGGGTCATGAGACAGTTCATTTAGCATAATATCTTATTTCATGCATGGATCAAATTCCATCGTCATGACATAGGTAATTTCCTAACTGAAAGCTGAACTCCGCCATAAGCAAATCTTCTCCTCATACAATAGTCATGTGTATTCTTCTTGGATCCTGGTGAGCTTGGTGTATTTCTTCCAGATCTGTGCAGTAATGCAGTGTGAGACCCGGAGCTTCCTGTAATAAAGACCGCTCGCTACTGCTCTCGTCTCCGCCCCCCTCCTGTAATAAAGACGAGCCACTGCTGCTCCCTGTCCTTGTGCAGGGTGACTGGTCTTGTCTCCACCCCCTCTTGTAATAAAGACCACTCACTGCTGCTCTCTCTCCTTGTGCAGGGTGACTGGTCTAACAGAGTAATGGCCTATGTATGTGAAGCTCTCACTACTGTCTAGGCCAAAAAAAAAAGTAAACGCCTGGATTTCGGGAAGTTCTTTGATCTGGGGTTGCTTCAGTTGGTCAGGTCTAGGTTCAGCAACATTATGTCACCAGAAAATGAGGTCAGCTGCCGACCTGAATATACTGAATGACCAGGTATTACCATCAATGGATTGTTCCTTCCCTGATGGCACATTGGACATATTCCTAGATGATAACGCCAGGACTCATCGGGCTCAGATTGTGAAAGAGTGGTTCAGGGAGCATGAGACATCATTGTCACACATGGATTGGCCACCACAGAGTCCAGACCTTAACCCCATTGAGAATCTCTGGGATGTGCTGGAGAAGACTTTATGCAGTGCTCCGACTCTCCTATCATCACTACAAGATCTTGGTGGAAAATTAATGCAACTCTGGACGGAAATAAATGTGACATTGTGTAAGCGTATCAAAATGATGCCACGGTGAATGTGTGCCAAAATCAAAGTTAAAGGCGGTCCAATGAAATATTAGAGAGTGTAACTTTTTTTTTTTTTTTTGGCCAGGCAGTATAGTTGTCTTTTTCCTAACCCCCCCTTCCCGCCTCCTTTGATACATGAGAGCAGTAAGTAAACTTGATCAATCAGATGACCCATCATAACATTACTGGATACCAACAATAGCAGTTCTAGTGTCTCTTATTCATGTACCTAGAAAAATGAGCCTATCAGTACGCTGCTTCTCCTTTCAGCAGCCAGTCACAAGCTGGGGGCAGGACAAGACCGGTGCGTATTTGTGACTTGTAGCAAAGGAAAAAATCCAGTCTCCTGCACTGCCATACAGTGTTGTGCTCTGTAGGCATAGCTGTGTAAATCTTAGGATTGCAGTGGCAGAAATACGAATCCTTTGGCAGATAAAACACAGTTGTCTTTCATCTATTTGCATAGAGTTCAGCTTTCACTACTAACAAGTGGCAGGCGCCGTATAAAACCATTTTGCAGGTTAGCACCCTGAAAAAAAGTGATTTCCTGACTTGAAGTGAAATAAATTGTGTTTTTTTTCTAGGTTTGCTGCCATTTCTTCTTTAATCTTCATTATTATGCAATTCATTTATTAAAAAGTGATATGGGGGGGCATGAAGGGTTGGTGGTGGTGGTGGTGTAAAAATCTCATGCGTGTCAGGAATAATAGTTCTAATTAAATGATGTGATTTTTACACCTTGTCCTCCCTTGAACACCTTCAATATGAAAAGGTAGCACCAAAAAAAAAAACCTTTTGAAATATACGGCATAAAATTAAAAATAATTGGATTATGAACACTGGAAAATGGTTCCTGTTTCTAGAGTGAAAAACAGCTTCAGTAGAATCTTTTAGACTGTCACAGCTTGAGTCTCGCTACGGCAAATGACCAGCAAATTGATTTTGTCACTAAAGGAAGCATGACAGGACATAGACTGGCCCCACAATTACTATAAAAAACACTTTGCTTCATGTCCTCCATATGGAAGGAGTGTAAATCATCCATGTTAAAAGGGGCATCTAAAGCCCAAATTCCTTTTAGTGTTGGATGGAGTAGCAAGGGGTTTATAATGCTGAACAAAATCCATCCTGCACCTCAGGGTCATTCCTATAACGAGGCAGCCTGAGCAGGTTGCCACAGGCGGCATCTCATTAGGTCACCTGCTGCCCCCTTTTTTAGCCAGAGTGTCCAAGGTTGCTAAGAGCCGTTAGCAAACTGCGATGCTCTGGCCGGCGTCTCGCCCAGCTCGCTGACGTCACTGGCTCTTAGGAGCTGAGCAGAATGCTCTGGTTGATGTCCCACCCAGCTCCTGGCAACCAGTGACATCAGTGAGCTATGCGGGATGCTGTGCACCACGAGCCGACCCATCTTAACCACCTCTCCCCAGAACATGATGCACCACAAGCAGGGTCGAATTTACTCTCTCTGCTGCCCCAAGCTGCCCTTGGGGCAGCAGAGAGAGTAAATCCGACCCTGCTTGTGGTGCATCATGTTCTGGGGAGAGGTGGTTAAGATGGGTCGGCTCGTGGTGCACAGCATCCCGCATAGCTCACTGATGTCACTGGTTCCTCAATGCGCCCCCTCCCCAACATGCCCCTCCTTGATGGAGAATGGCAACCAGATAGCAGGGGTTAGTTTTAATTTGGTTTTTATTTTTTTCCTAATTTTTTTATCACTTTTTTATTTTTATCAAATTTGTTTACTTTTTTAAATATTTATTAATCTTTTTTTTTTTTTTAACTTTTTGACCTGCAGGCTGCATACAAGTGACCTCGGTGACATTGCCGAGATCACGTCTACAAAACGAGCGGTGAGTTCCCTGCTCTACATTTAGCCCTGCTGCCCAGCACCTGAAACTGAATGTCCCGAGTGTATGGCGGTAGGAATTCCACACCCCTGCTGCCCCTCTACTCCCTGCTGCTCTAAAGAGGGTGCCCGGCCTACGTCGATACCGTGTAAACCCAAGCATACCAAGCGTTAGATACCTCAATTAAAGTCTAAAGTTGACCATGCACTGCTTGGATTTTCATATGAAAGATCTTTCTATCGACTTTCTATTAGTTGATGGGGTCCAACTGGGGATCAATTACGACCACAGTGACCAACAAACTCGAAAGAGCAGGATGGAAAATGTTGTGAATTTGGTTTTCGAGTAAACTCCATTCATTCCAAAATCGAATGTTAAAATCAAACAAAATTTCAATCGTCATTCAGCAAATGTCTGATGGCATTACCGGGTGATCTTTCTTACAAATGTTTGTTTGGAAATCTTCAAGTGATTGGCCAGCTTAAGGCTCCATTCACACTTGAATGTCTTTGGGTGTTCATTCGGGTGTTCATTTGAGCCTTTTTGTAAGCATTTTATATTCATTTTTAGCCAATGCAAAGCTAGTTACATAGATACATAGTATTTGAGGTTGAATAAAGACATTAGTCCATCAAGTCCAACCTAGGCAAAACTGCGCTTGAGGAAAAATACACGTGATATGTGTTTTTCGCATGTTCTCCAGGCACTGCATTTGAAGTCTCTTGGGGACAAAACGCTTGACTCGGCTCCAAAAGAACCCCGTGTACTTTTTCCAGCTGCGGTCCTTTTACTACATGCCACAGAATGCTCAGATGTGAACAGGGGCCAAACAATGGAATTCCTTCTGTTGAGTGCTGTAGGCATTCAAGCGACAAAGTGCTGAGGTGTGAATGGCAGCGGAGACTGCATTCCAACCTGAGCGATCTGAAACTCTGTTTGAAGCTCCAGAAGAAGCATTTCAATCCTCAACACTATGACCTTCCATTATATTCAATGGTGCCCGTTCATGCCAAAGCATGATGAGGCCTTAAAGCAGGGGTCTCAAAGTACCGGCCCGTGGGCTAACTCCGGCCAGCGTGAGCCGGTACTATGTGGCCCGCAGCCAGCTCACAAGTCAGGTACGCGGTCACAGACCGTGTACCCGACTTGCAGGAGCAGCTACAAGGTCTGCATCTCTGATTGGATGCACACCGCAGAACTGCTGCTGTCAGCTCCGGCCGAAGCTCTGACAGTTCTGAGCTTTGGCCGAACGGATGATTAGTAAGGTCTGCACTAGACCTTACTAGTCACCACTAGATCAGCAGGGAATGATGTGGCCTACAAAGATGAAAGCAGGAGAGGCTGGAAAAGTTTTATTGTATTAGTGTGGGGGGTTGTATTTTTCTGTGTGTGTGTATTCACACCTATATTTCAGGTGCGATTCGTGCAGCAGGAATCCCTAATCTGGTGTTTACATTCAACAACTGTCACCTATTCAAGTTAATGATCGGGTGACAGCCGCTGCATGTACATGCCTGCATACCGCATGCAATATGATTACATGCAGTTACAAAAACTATCACTCTCCCTAGATACACGACTGTGCTGTCAAAACACTTAAAGAAGCCAGTGTGTGATTCCCCCTCCAGATACCACGTATAACCCAAAATATCCCTTATGGGTGGACTGGTCCTTTAACATTCTAGTCTCGTTCTGTTGTTTCAATGTTTTTCTCTATCCGAGTTGTTCGTATATCAGCACAGATCAGAATTTCCTTTTTTTAAACATTTTCAATTCAAAACAAACAAAAATCTCAGATTCTGGCGGCTTTCCGTGCCGTCGCCGGCTTATTTTTCCTTCGCTTGATAAAACACGGAGATGACCCTGGGATTGGAGCGAAAAAGACTTTGACGATAATTACAGGGGAAGCAAATGACAAACATTACCTGTGCGTAACGTTCATTTACAGATATTTACGAAATAACAGCCGCGCTGTACCCGTGCATCATGCAATTACCCCATCACGGGAATGCGTGAGTGACAAGCACTTCATATAATTATGGTGATGGCAATGATTCCGCCGTAACAAGGAAGTGAGTGCGTATGGGGGGGGGAGCACTTCTTACCGGCGTCGTTGTCCTTCCCGTCACCGCAGGACGTCTCCATGGATGTGTCACACCCAACTCCTCTCCATCCTAGATGGCAGATGCAGTTCCAGCCATTAAGGTCCAACGTGCATCGTCCATTGCCATTGCACAGGCCAGGACATCCCTCTGGAAAAGCAGATCGGTACACCGGTTAAGGGGTTATGTAGGAAACAGACAAGAAAAACACTCTTAAGACACTGCTAAGGGTTAAAGTGCATCTAAACTCCAAACCAATACAACACACAAAGCAATAGTGGAAGTATCTTAAGACCATCTCTAAGCTTAATGTGGACGGCAAGTCAGCCTCAAAGTTTATAGCCACTTAAAGCGTATCTAAACCCAAGAACAAACATGTAATATAGTACAGCCTACCAGACCTTAGATATGGTGGCTGCATTCGTTTTTTTCCTATTTTTAGGGGTTTTTTATCTTTATTTTCACTTGGTGATCCCTCCAATAACACATCAAGGGTGATACCACAGGCTGCTCTCCTACAAAAGCCTTCACATCTCCATTATAAAGGGAGGAGGTGCTTCTGTAGTTCACATAGGGTAACTGGGAAAGGTGAAGCTGTTTCAGATATCAATTTAGTGCACAAAAACATACAAAGACAATGGAATTCTGGCAGGATCAACATGCATTTGTCTGTACTCAGAAAAAACAAACACTTAGCTTGAAAAATGGCAGACATGTTTGTAATCCAGCCATGGTGGTGTTCTATCGAAAGCTCCAACTCCTCGAGTTCTCCAACTGCCTGACTTCCGGTTTCGCTAGAACTAAGAGGTTTGGCCAAGAAAGCTCTTCTGCACGAGCGCCAGCCGCGGCATTGCCCTATACACATACACCACAACAATGAAGTAATAAAATGAACCAGGATCACACTAATCCAACACGTTATTAAGCTCAGGTGCACCACTCAATATGGCCGCTGCTTGAGTGGGGCACCTGAGAGTAATAACGTGCTGGATTAGTGTGATCCTGGTTCATTTTAATACTTCATTGATGTGGTGTATGTGTATAGGGCAATGCCGCGGCTGGCGCTCGTGCAGAAGAGCTTTCTTGGGCAAACCTCTTAGTTCTAGCGAAACCGGAAGTCAGGCAGTTGGAGAACTCGATAAGTTGGAACTTTCGATAGAACAGTGGCAACTATGACTCCCTCCATAGATAGATAAAGTGGAGAAGTGAGTGTAGCCACTCAGGGATAGAAGTGGAGCTATTTGCAAGACCACCAGGTGAAAAGAAAGAAAAAAAAAAGAAAACTACGATAATTCAGCCACCATCTATGGACTGGAAAGCAGCAACATATGACATTTATGATCTTGGGTTTAGATACTCTTCAACACTATGGCAAGAGATGTGTGTTTTAATTATTGGTGCCCCTTTTTACACATAGACCTCCGCAGTTGCAAATCATGTGTTGGCATCCTGCTGCAAGGACAAAATATCACAATAAAGACTCACAATGTCTGCTCACATAAAACTGATATTTGAGTGTTGGTAGAAGCTGGATAGGCAACCCAACAATTTCTTCTACTTCTCCATAAATCTATTGGTGATATCCGTGTGCTGAGTTCTGCACACCTGCTGTCCCCACTATGAGGGGTTCCCACCATTCCTGTACCACATTCCTGGGTCTGCACACCTGCTGTGCCCAATATGAGGGGCTCCCATCATACCTGCCCTGAGGTTCCAAGTCTGCACACCTGCTGTCCTCATTATGATGGATTCCCACCATCCCGGCACTGTGTTCTCAGGTCTGTACTCCTGCTGTGCTCATTATGAGAGGCTCCCACTATCCCTATGCTTAGTTCGTGGGTGTGAACACCTGCTCAGTCTCCTATATAGGGTTGTCACCATCCCTGCATGGTGTTCCTGGGTCTGTACACCTGCTGTGCCCATTATGAGGGGCTCCCACTATCCCTGCCCTGAGTTCCCGGGTGTGCACACATGTTGCACCCATTATGAAGGGCCCCCACCATCCTTGCGCTGAACTCCCAAGTTTGCACACCTGCTGTGAACAACACAGGGGTTTCCCAGCCTCTCTGCTGAATTCTGTATTTATTTTATATTGCAACATTTAACAGAAGTTGCCGGAACAAACAAAATTGGATGGGAACACCAAAACTCCAAGGGAGATAGGAAAAGAGTCGGGAATTAGGGCAGCAGCATCACATTTTGGATTATCCAAGAGATATAAGAAGTCAGAAGATAAGTCAGCAAGTCAGCCCACCGGGTTCCTCCAAAAAAATAGCAACAAAAAAAAATATAACAAAAATATCATCTTTGGTAGACTGGCCCTTAAAATGTAAAAAAGGGTGAGGCTGCAGGGAGACATTTTATCACAAAATTGAGTCACAGCAGGGGACATCTGTGAGCAGCTCCAGGAGTCTCAGCAGAGGACATCTGTGAGCAGCTCCAGGAGTCACAGCAGAGGACATCTGTGAGCGGCTCCAGGAGTCACAGCAGAGGACATCTGTGAGCAGCTCCAGGAGTCACAGCAGAGGACATCTGTGAGCAGCTCCAGGAGTCACAGCAGAGGACCTCTGTGAGCAGCTCCAGGAGTCACAGCAGAGGACCTCTGTGAGCAGCTCCAGGAGTCACAGCAGGGGACATCTGTGAGCAGCTCCAGGAGTCACAGCAGAGGACATCTGTGAGCAGCTCCAGTATCAGGTGACACCTTTAAAAAGGCACATTCCACTTTTTAATATTTTTTCCATAAACACTCCAGGATCTTGTCACTGTAAGATTCCAGTGATCTGCACAAAACCATACATTGAATCCATATTTGTATTATGGAACAGCAAACATTAAAACTGTGAGGGCAACAGCAAATATTATACATAATATAGTAATTCAAAATGTACATTTAATGAGCAGACTCTATATGTTCCTATGCTGTTCATAAACTTGCCCCCTATCAAGGAATTTCAACCACTTCCAACCAGCAAAGACTACTGACACATATAAAAGCAACCAACCATCCAAATGTTCTACCAAAACCGTGAAATAATAATTGTTGGAGCAAAAGACAAAAGGAAAACAATTACAGTATATTGATGAAAATAGTAATACACATTGCCATTGTGCACCTCGTTGTTGGTTAGTGACGTTGTCCATCACAGAGCAAGGCCAATGGCAAGTCCAGGGAGGTAGGATGGGGCAGGCAAGAGCCAACAACCACAACAAGTGGTCACAATTTCCCTATCAGCGTGTGTAGACGCTGATAGGGAAATTGTGACCAGACCATTCATTTTAACAAAAATCTTCCCAAAAGGTTACCTGTAAAAGCCACCATTGTGTAGAGATCCAAAAGCTCTGAGACTGCTGCTGGGCACCACCATCTTGGATGTAATATCAGTGACCCATGCAAACTTAGCTTAGCTCCAGGAATCACCCAGGCTGGCTACCAGAAATTATTTACTACTCAATAAAAAAAAACTGCTGCCCACTTGGGTGCATTGGATAGGAACAGATCACAGTGATGCTCCCCAATGCCCTCATTTGGTCATGTGACATTACATGTCAAAGTACAAGGAGAGCATTGAAAGCATTGCTGTGCTCAGCAAGCAGCCCTGTGCAGCTCTTCCGTAAATTAGGATTTGAAACAGCCTCCAACTGGGCACTCTGCGCTCACAGTCATTTACTTTGTGGGGCAGCAAAGGAAAGACAAGTAAAAGTGGAAGGGAGGCCCGGTCCAAACATCAGACTGGGGCCCCTACATTTATACCATCATCATTGGGTAAAGAATCTCAGGGGTAGGTTCTATGGAAATATACCAGTAAAAGATGGTCATGGAGGTTTAGTCTATGCACCTCTAAAGAAAGAACATCTCTGCAAACTTACAAAACAGAAGACACAACTTATGTGTGCACCATTTTCTGGATGCCATGCCAAAGAAGGCTTAATGAAATATGAAGACCATGAAGTAAAAAATTGTGGAATAGGTTCAGACGAGCAAAAAAGTCATAGCTGGCTAGTTCATTTCAACATTGACTCAATTAGCTAATCAAAACCAGAACAAAAGAAGTCAATCATTAGGAAAGACAAATCTGAAAATGCTAATTTTCAGGCAGATGCTTTATTGTCTAAACCCAGCAAAGTACAATTTATTTTTCAGCTTTTGTGAGCTTTTTTCCCCTCAAACATTGGAGAAAAAAAACCCAACCTCCACTCTTCTGGTAAGCCTTTCCACGTGATTTTGGAAATTTCAATCTGTGAGGTCAGATACTGAGACCTGGCCCCCAGAGGCGGCTCTAGAGTTTGCGAGGCCTTAGGCGAAACCTAAACATGAGGCCCCGCTCAGGCCTGTGGGGTCTCACCAGGGCCCTGTGGGGTTTAACCAGGAATAGTGAGAACCCACAGAGCCCTACTTTAACCAGGGCTCTGTGGGGTTTAACCAGGAATAGTGAGAACCCACAGAGCCCTACTTTAACCAGGGCTCTGTGGGGTTTAACCAGGAATAGTGAGAACCCACAGAGCCCTACTTTAACCAGGGCTCTGTGGGGTTTAACCAGGAATAGTGAGAACCCACAGAGCCCTACTTTAACCAGGGCTCTGTGGGGTTTAACCAGGAATAGTGAGAACCCACAGAGCCCTACTTTAACCAGGGCTCTGTGGGGTTTAACCAGGAATAGTGAGAACCCACAGAGCCCTACTTTAACCAGGGCTCTGTGGGGTTTAACCAGGAATAGTGAGAACCCACAGAGCCCTACTTTAACCAGGGCTCTGTGGGGTTTAACCAGGAATAGTGAGAACCCACAGAGCCCTACTTTAACCAGGGCTCTGTGGGGTTTAACCAGGAATAGTGAGAACCCACAGAGCCCTACTTTAACCAGGGCTCTGTAAGGTCTCACTAGGGTTCTGTAGGGTCTCACTAGGGCTCTGTGGGGTTTAACCAGGAATAGTGAGAACCCACAGAGCCCTACTTTAACCAGGGCTCTGTAAGGTCTCACTAGGGTTCTGTAGGGTCTCACTAGGGCTCTGTGGGGTTTAACCAGGAATAGTGAGAACCCACAGAGCCCTACTTTAACCAGGGCTCTGTGGGGTCTCACCAGGGCCCTGTGGGGTTTAACCAGTCTGGTGGGACAACCAGAGAGCCCTGGTGAGACCCCCTCAGAGCCCTGGTGAGACTACACAGATCCTTGGTTAAACCAGGGTTCTGTAAGGTCTCACTAGGGCTCTGTAGGGTCTCACTAGGGCTCTGTAGGGTCTCACCAGGGCTCTGTATTGTCTCACCAGTGCTCTGTAGGGTCTCACCAGCTTGGTTAAACCCCAAAGAGCACTGGTGAGATAACACAGGGCTCTATATGGTCTCCCCGGGGCTTTGCTGGGTCTCACCAAGGCTCTGTGGGGTTTAACCAGGGCTGGCGAGACCCTACAGAGCCCTAGTGAGACCCTACAGAGCCCTAGTGAGACCCTACAGAGCCCTAGTGAGACCCTACAGAGCCCTAGTGAGACCCTACAGAGCCCTAGTGAGACCCTACAGAGCCCTAGTGAGACCCTACAGAGCCCTAGTGAGACCCTACAGAGCCCTAGTGAGACCCTACAGAGCCCTAGTGAGACCCTACAGAGCCCTAGTGAGACCCTACAGAGCCCTAGTGAGACCCTACAGAGCCCTAGTGAGACCCTACAGAGCCCTAGTGAGACCCTACAGAGCCCTAGTGAGACCCTACAGAGCCCTAGTGAGACCCTACAGAGCCCTAGTGAGACCCTACAGAGCCCTAGTGAGACCCTACAGAGCCCTAGTGAGACCCTACAGAGCCCTAGTGAGACCCTACAGAGCCCTAGTGAGACCCTACAGAGCCCTAGTGAGACCCTACAGAGCCCTAGTGAGACCCTACAGAGCCCTAGTGAGACCCTACAGAGCCCTAGTGAGACCCTACAGAGCCCTAGTGAGACCCTACAGAGCCCTAGTGAGACCCTACAGAGCCCTAGTGAGACCCTACAGAGCCCTAGTGAGACCCTACAGAGCCCTAGTGAGACCCTACAGAGCCCTAGTGAGACCCTACAGAGCCCTAGTGAGACCCTACAGAGCCCTAGTGAGACCCTACAGAGCCCTAGTGAGACCCTACAGAGCCCTAGTGAGACCCTACAGAGCCCTAGTGAGACCCTACAGAGCCCTAGTGAGACCCTACAGAGCCCAGGGGAGACCCCAAAGTGCCCAGTTGAGCCCCCACAGAGCCCTGGTTAAACCGGGGCTACCTAGGGTCTCCACAGGACTCTCTAGGGTCACAGGGCTCTCACCATTGCTGTAGCCTGTGAAGGCTGCCTCTCACCAGGACTGTGCAGGGAGCGTCTCACGGGTGGCTCCCACGGGCGGGAGCGTGCAGGACGAGCCGTTGCTGACGTCTGCCCCTGACGATCCACCCTCCCAGCCAGATTTAACTCCGCCCTCCCAGCCAGATTCAACTCCGCCTCCTCCCAGCCAGATTGGGATCCTCGCACGGTGGATGGGAAGGGTGAGATGGCTTCCGAGTGGCTGGTGGGCGGAGCTCCAGAAGACCACTGGCCGAATGGACGCACCGAGGAAACAGATAAGCTCTCAGCCCTGTCGCTGTCAAACGGAGAGCCTCCGTTTGACAGTGACAGGGCTAAGAGCTCACGACGTTACCTGGCTGTGGGGTAATGTGACGGCAGGGCAAATTAGGCGGTCGCGAGGCCCTCGGGAGCGCGAGGCCTAAGGCGATTGCCTAATTTGCCTAATTAAAGAGCCGCCTCTGCTGGCCCCCAATCGGTGTTACAAATTATCCCAAGGGTGTTTAGTAGTGTTGGACTTAGTGCAGACCAATGGAGTTCCTCCACACCAAACTCATCCAACCAGATCTTTACAGACCTGAATGATTTTGTACTCTGAAGCCACATTGACAATGAGGGGAAGCATGCTGGTCTTCCATGTTGAGTTCACACAGCCCTGAGCAAAAGAAGATCCTAATTTATTGCCCTGGGTGACCCTTTAAATGGCTGACTAATCTCAGATTTTCCCAGTAAATGACAATGATAGATACTGGCTAAGGTCATTACATTTCTGCCTGGTGTCTCTAGAGTTCACTACATAAACATGCTGGACATTGCTTTGAGATCACCTGCCGGATTTAAAAAATTTCTACAAAAATGGCTGAATATTGGCAAAGGATACAAAATGGCTGCCTGAAGAGTGGACATAATGACCAAAATTGTACAAAGAAAAAAACCTTATCATTGCCTCTAGAAACCTATCAGCATTTCCTTTTGTTCTCCTATACTGGACTGGAGACATCAAGGCAATTCTGACTAGCTGCCATGGGCAACAAGGGCCATTTCATATTGAGCCATTTGTGAAAATGAGACTCTGAGGTTCGGTACAAACTGTAAACACTTCCTCTGTAAATTCTGCTCATATGGAAGAAGACATATCAGATAATGGCTAGAACATTTTTTGTGGTAACACACAAAAAGTATGAAAAATAAAAAAAAAAAAAAAAAGGAAGACTGATACAATACCTTTCACTACCTTATCCAGATAGTGGGCTTGGGAAATAAAAGACAGGACATTTAAGGTAGGGTTGAATAAGTGCTGGGTGCCAGTCGGCTGTGCATGTGGATACAGAAGCACAAAGGGAAACAGAAGGAGCCATGTTACAGCGATATGGTGTGGTACAGACAGAGAAGGGATGGAGGAACACAAGTGCAGGTTTGGAAAGCAACATTCATTCCAGACATTTAACATATTGATCACAGGTCCCCTTAGCATCATTACAACCCCTCCCCTCTCGTGGGCCGAAACTCCTCCTTAAAACAAGACAATACAAACTGCCACTGCTTAGGAAATCAGAAGATCTTCTTTGATTACAAAATCAGAAGATCTTCAAGGTGCACAATGTGCACTCAAGACTGATTTCAGGTGACCTATGAATCCCTACACAACAGCTACAATCCCCGTGTAAGACCAGATGTGTAATGCTAAATAAAGGGGAAATACATAAGCTAGGTAGGAAATTCTGATTGTTGTAAGCCCCATTATGATGACTGGTTCTCTTTAAAGCAATCTTGGTAACTACATTAATGAGCATGAACCAACAATCCTACCAAAATGCAGATACCTTGAGCAGCCTGCAAGTACCATTGGTAATCTTTTAATCAATGTATTTGTGCCTGGGAAGTAAGGTAAATTATATGGAGATGGCCTTGACTTTTGCCCAACATAAAGCTAAGCCCAGCCCCTTTCTGCAGCCATTTATCAGACAATTGTTAGAACCTCTACTTCTGGCCAGGGTGCCGACACTGGATAGTTAAAAGGTGGATGTCTTTGCTCTAAGCCAAGTACAGTGCACCCATTACTGAGGGGGCACAAAGAAACCTATTAGAAGATTATCAAAGGTACTTGCAGCCTTCCCAAAGTGCCTGTGGTTTAGCAGCATTGTTAGTTAAAAAACATGGATATTATTCACTTACAGGAGAAGGAGTAAGAGTTTTGTGGGTCCCCATACTTATAATGTCAAAAACCACAGAAGGTGAAGACAATAGACATTATGGTTCCTGGTTCACGCTGGGCTAACATCACAACCCACATGAACCCATAAAAAATGAATTACCCGGCTGCTCTGCACTTGAGTCAAGGTAGCCATAGACATTAGATAAAAGCATTTCTTTGGTATATGCATGGTGTGTACACAATCTGTCTGAAGTGTCAGTCTAGCCTGTATGGGAGTATTGCAATTGCATGTCAGCCTCATATACGTTAGTGAACTATCTTACTAAAAACAACACAGGTACCGAAAATAAAGGCAGAACAGAAATAATATAGTGATAGGGGTGGTTGATGTAACAGTGGAAACAGAAAGGTCTTTCCATGTGAACAGTCATTCCTCTAAAATTCCCCAATCTCTCCCCTACACCGTCTTTTAAGTAGTGCCTAACACTAAACCCTTCCCCCCAACCAGAACCAAACACTTAAACTAACCTCTAAAAATAACTTGCAAAAAGTATATCTAAAGCCAAAACTTTTAGTAAGTAATGGATAAAATCCCGGAAGGATTATTATTTTTGCTGTGCCATTGGGGTGATTTCCCTTTACTTTCTATTGTAAATGTAGAATATGAGAAGAAATCTCTCCAAAATCAGAGAAATCCCCACTTGGGCAACTGTGAACAGAAAAGATGTGCTTATTGAAAAATTGTCCCTCACCTCCAATGTTACGAATGTAAACATTTTGAATATCCATAATTTTCTTTCCCATTGACTAAGGTGAATCTCCCCCACCGGGAACACAGACATCTATTAAATCTTGGCATCTACAGAATATAGCTTGTGATGTTGCCAGCAATGCACTGTCCTTGTCACTTCCTGTGAGATAAATCTTTTCCTTTCTTGTGTAAACTACTTATCTCATTAGTAAACACATAAAGGATCTGAACAAAGGCAGACATGTTTGAAGTCCAGTCTGGTTGGCTACCATGGCTCCTTCCATAGGTACATTGGAAAAGTGAGCATAGTCAAGCCAGGACAGTAAGTGTGTCATTTGCAGAATAACAATGCAAAATTAAATGTGATCCCTAACCTACATACTATAAGTTCCTCACCTAACCCCCTAACCTAGCACTATAGTCTTGCCCCTAACACTAAATTTAATGCTACAGAGCCAACTTATCTGAGGCAAAGTTGCAATAAGTCCCACACCACATTTTAACAGTGCTGAGACCACCTGGACTGGAGGGTGATGGCAGCATATGCAAGCCAATCAGTCACAGAATTGCCTAGAACGGTTGCTCCAATATGTTTTCAGGAACACAGAAAAACAGGGATGAGCTCATCATCCTTCATTGCCCAACTACAGGCTGGAGCTGGTACTAGACAAGACTCTATTGCTTATCTGCAGTGTAGAGTGCAGGGAGGTCACATATCTGGCTATATTGTCTTACAGGGAGTACCTGGGTCACAGGACTAGTTCATATATCATCAATATGGCATGATTCCAGGTTAGTGGAAACCACTAGTTTTTAGCTCTCAGGCCACATGTGAGATGGAAGCTTTTTGTTGATTTTTGACATGGATATAGTCTGAAACATGTCATTATTTCAAGAGAAATACATAAACCCGGTTATACTCTTGTTGATGGCAACTTGCCACCAACATAATAGCTAAAGAGTCTACTTATCTACTCTTACAGCATGGCTCCCCCGCTGGCCAAAAAGCAATAGAATCTCGTTGGGAGCTAGCATGGGAGCAGCAGCACAGAGACACCTCACTGGTTAGGCCATGTTCCACTGGAGCAGAGAAATGTTGTCAATGCTCTCTTAGTGATCCTGTCACTGGGGAGCTGCCATGTGCTATGGGCCTTAGTATACGTAGCCTCTCCAATTGGTCTTGGGAGATGGAGTGATTGAGATTATGGAGGATTGTGCAACAGTGTTACCCAGGTATAAAGACTGTGAACAGATTTATCTAACAGAGGTTTCAAATGCTGCTTACGTTTGTAGACCAAAGATTTGCCAAATGGAATGTTTCTGTCCAATTCCAATTCCCATCTGATCATTTCTTTATACTTTAGGAATACTTCTGTTGTCAATAAGAAAAGGGGAAAATGGGAATATATGAATCAGATCTTTCTATGAGACCTTTCCATGAACTTAAAATGAAATGGGTCTATATTCTACGTAATGTGTTCCCCAGCTTCAGTGTAAATATCAAACCGATATTCCTATCTCTTATGTCTTTATACAACGGTTAAAATGAAGTTCTGAAAATATTCCTGTTTTGGTTTGGGAAAACGTGCCCAATTTCTGAAAGACTGAAGGGAGCGCTAGGAGGGAGTACACATTTATTACAAATTTCAGGGATATTTTCCTTTCTCTAATGCCCACAAGGTCACCGAACTGAAAAAGCCTTGCTTAAGTCCAAGGACAATACATACTTGATGACATGCTATCTAGGAGTAATGGAGTGAGAAGGAAAGCCATCATTGCTAAGTCTGGTGTGGTAAGGTTATGTTTGTCCTTACAGGCTTAGGATATTAAAGGGGAAGGATTGTTAAGACAAAGGCAGTACTATAAAAAAGAGCATGTTATGGGAGACCAGCAATGTTCCTATTTTAGTTCCGAAACTCAACACATAGAAGGTAGAAAGCAATAAAATAAAGACTGATTGGTTAGCGCACTCCTAGGGGGGTGTGTGGTGTGTTGTGGCCGGTGTGCGTCTTCTTATGTTATTAGACCGGGGTGCCTAACTGTATGATGCTAAACGAAAAAAGGGAAAAAAGGAAGGAGTGCAACTAACTGGCGCAGACTGTGTGGATGGAAAATAACCAGGGAATAATAATACATCGAGGTGAATGGAGGTGGGAATGGAAAAGCGGTATTAGGCACATGGAAGGTAGACCACTGAAGACTTAAAGGAGAACTATGGGGTCAGGGCTTTTCCCCATAGTTCTCCTAAGGGTAACGGGAGGACACAAACTGAGACGCCGCAGCCGGGACGGATCCCGACATTACTGTCTGGATCCACCCAGCTGCGTGAATGACAGCTGGCTCTGCCTATCTAGAGGCAGAGCCAGCTGTACCGGCCCCCTCCCCCCGTCTGTTCCGCCAGTCAGCGCTGCAGGATCGGACAGGGGAGGGGAATCCCCGCAGGGAGCCGTGAGTGACAGTCACAGCTCTTTGCAGGGACACGATTGAGAAGTGAGCAAGCGATGGTATGTGTTCGTTCACTTCCCGATCTATTGAGCCGACCTGTGACAGTTTTATTGTCATAGGTCTGCTAGAACTATGAGGCTGAGTGATTTATAATTATAATTCTCCTTTAAGGTTTTTTATTAGTATGGATTTTTGCATACAATATCCGCTAGACTCGTATAACATTTAAGAGGTACCTTGCAGGGTCAAGAAGAAATTTGTTTTGTGAAAATTTGGCAACAGTCACCCAAGGTAGGTGTAGTTTGTTTTGTGTTTCTCTGAACCAAAATTGCTGAAATTGCAAATGGTTAAACTTTATGGCTGGGAGTGTTTTGTTTTTTTAACTGAACTATTTAACTAAGATTTTTTAGGGATCTTATCCCTATAAGTTATCAAAATATATTGTAATTTAAGAGACAACGGACCTCTTAATGGCCACTGTTCCTGTGGGATATTGGGGGGAATTTACCAAAATTGGAGCTGACAAAATCTGTAGCAGTTGTCCATAAAGACCAATTAGATTCCCTTTATTTAGCTTGTCCAGAAAGATAGATGCTGACTGGTTGCCATGCACACCTGCTCTAGATTGTGTCTGCTCCAATCTTGATAAATTCCCTTCATTGTGTGTTTAGTGGGAAGACGTTATGTGGATTCCTAGAAATGTGAGCATTTCTCTTCAGCTACATTTTCAGATTAATTGGGAGAGTCTCGGATTTATTTTAAGATGAAAGTTTACAAATCTCTAGCAATATGTGTGGGTTTGAGAGGAATGCACCAGGGTCAGAATTAGCAGAATATCACCTGTGAGTGGTGAAGAGTTTAAAAGTTTCTACCAGAGTATGATACCTTGAATGTTTGGGC